GCCTTCCAGTCCTCCACCGTCCCAGCATTCCCTGCGCCCCACCGTGCAGAGCGGCTTCCGGCGTCGGGGGTGGAGGTGGGTGAAGAAGGAGCGGGCTCTCGCCGCTCGCTCTCACTCCCTCGCGCTCTCTCGGGCAACATGGCGGCCGTGGAGGAGGCAGCGTCCTCCGGGAGCCTCCTGAATGGCGACCTGGATCCAGACGACAGGGAAGAGGGAGCTGCCTCTACGGCGGAGGAGGCAGCCAAGAAAAAAAGACGAAAGAAGAAAAAGAGTAAAGGGGCTGCCACAGGTAAAGGGAGTTTTATGTTTTTCCCAGGGATGGCCGAACGACTCGGCTCAGGCCCGGCGTGGGTGTCAGGGACCGGGGACTCGGAACCCTGGAGTGGACTGATTCCCGGGACTGAGCGCGTGGCGAGACCGGGCTACAGAGTCTCAGCCCCGCGAGGAGGCGGCTTCTCCTCCCGTGGGACTGGAGAGCTGGTGGAAGCGTGGAGAGGGAGAGCGGGGTCGGGTCGCTCAGCTTCCCTTGCGGAGCTCGCTCTGGGGTCGGTAGGCCGGGAGCCCCTGAGTTGCCAGAACTCGACTCCCACGCAGACTGTGCAGCGGACTTGAAGCCGTGCACCGCGCCCAGCCCTACCTACCACCTTCCTCGCGGTTTGGCTTCCTGAAAAACCTGCTTCTGACCCGCGCTGCCCGCCGCCGCTTTGCCGGAGCATCCTGGTACTCACTTCGGCCGACGGTGCGGGTGAAATGGACAAGTCCGAGCGCCTGGACCGCGCCTCACCCCGCCATCCCAGTTTACAGAGGGATTTTTGGTGCGGGCTTCACTTTTGGGGGTGTGTGTATGACCTCGCGCTCATGTCACTGAGTTGTAATTGCAGAATGGGGGGGGGGGGGGGGGGGGGGGCGGTGTGTGTGCGCGCGCGCGCGCGCGAGTTTTCACTCGTCTAATCCCACGGCATCATCAAGCGTTAGGGTTTTTAGGCCTGAATTATAATGGCATTGCAGGCAGTCTAGATAGAGGATACAGTGGGGCCTTGACTTACGAGTTTAATTCGTTCCGAGACCAAGCTCGTTAACTCAAATTACTCTGTCAACTCAATGCAAAAAATCGGCCGAGAGACAGCTGGTATCTCAAAAAACTCGTTAGTCGGGACACTCGTAAGTCAAGGCCCCACTGCATTCTGTGGCTCAGAGTCGAACTTCTCCAAATCCACTGGTAAGGCAGGAAAACAGCTAAAAACTTAACACGTGGGTTATATTAAGAGTTATTTTATTTTGAGAAGTCAGTGTGTTTTTGTTGCACTAGGTCCTTCATTTTAGGAAAAATTATTTGCACCTGTTTCATTTTTAGGAAAAAATATCTCTACCTGTGAAAGCCATAGAAAGAATGAAAGAAAAATGGAGAGGCCAGAAGTGATGAGCGTGGAGTTGAGAGAGGTTGGAGAGGGTTAATCTCTATCTGTCTGAAATTTTGATTAGATGGGAGTTGAAGAGGGAGAGTTGTAGGTGCTGAGACACTCCCAGAACAAGTTAATCCCAGGACACAGGCTAGTGGCTCTTCCTGGCTTTCAGATGAAGTCCAAGCTCTTCAGTTTGGTCTTTAAGGTGTGTTCAGCAGACTGACCCCAATACATTTTTAGCAGGACATTCTCAATATGAATGTTCTACAAAGGCCAAAATGTCACTTTATTATGTACTACCTCATATTACCATCTTTCTGCACACGCATATTCCTCCTCTAGCTAGATTATAATTACTGCCAGAGCAGGGGCCTGGTCTTATGCTTAGCTGTTCAAGAATTTTTTGTTTTAGTAATGGAATGTCTTTTTCTATTTATTTTGATTTTACCTAGCCCAGCTTGACAACTTTTTTTCTTCATGAATCCCTGAAGGCCCCCAGTGTCCCACAGAAATCCTCTTCTTCACTAAGGTCTTCAGCATTTATTGCCTATCTTAAGTACCTGTTTGGTTAGTAAAGTATTTGTTGTAGTTTAATTGTTAAATACTTTAAAAAGTTAAAACTACTTAAATATAGGGACCAACTCACACTTTTGCTTAACCTTTAGCTGCTATCACAGAGAATGTATTTTGTTGAATGGACAATACTACTTAGATTTGGGAGACTTTTCTTTGTCATTAAATAAATTCTGTTAATGTTCACAATAATGTTTGTTTTTGTTTCCTAAACACCTATCAGGAAAGGACTTGTGTGTTCTTCAATATCTGTAGAACATATTCTAGTGTTAAGTGTCTTTATTAGATTTGATTTATGCTATTATATTTGATTAGCAGGACAACAGGAACCTGATAAAGAATCAGGAACCTCAGTGGATGAGGTAGCAAGACAATTGGAAAGACAAGCATTGGAAGAGAAAGAAAGAGATGATGATGATGAAGGTAAATGATTAATTTGGTGTTTGTGGTTATAAAAGCAAGAAAATACGACGTTCTTTAATCATTTTTTTAATCCTCACCCAAGGACAGGGGTCCTCAAACTACGGCCCGCGGGCCACATGCAAATACAAATATTGTATTTGTTCCCGTTTTGTTTTTTTACTTCAAAATAAGATATGTGCAGTGTGCATAGGAATTTGTTAATAGTTTTTTTTTAAACTATAGTCCGGCCCTCCAACGGTCTGAGGGACAGTGAACTGGCCCCCTGTTTAAAAAGTTTGAGGACCCCTGCCCAAGGACATGCTTTTATTGATTTGAGAGAGAGACAGACAGAGAAAAACATTAATGTGATGTAAAAGTGAAACATTGATTGGTTGCCTCCCATGCATCTTCAATCAGGGCTCAAACTCCCAACCTGTGCCCTGACTGGAAAAGGAATCTGCCACCTTTCGGTGTATGAGACTATGCTCTAACCCAGTAGTCGGCAAACCCCGGCTCGCGAGCCACATGCGGCTCTTTGGCCCTTTGAGTGTGGCTCTTCCACAAAATACAGATGCTTTGGACATATAGAGAGGATGAGCGAAAGGAGGTAGACGAAACAAGTATACAAGACGAGTGTGGATGGGAGAGTTGGAAGGGGTCAACCTCAGCAAACATTCCTCAATCAGATTGAGGACGTTTTTAGCAAAGGCCAGCTTAGGAGTACCCTAATTAAGTTAATGACAATGTACCTACCTATATAGTTTAAGTTTAAAAAATTTGGCTCTCAAAAGAAATTTCAATCATTGTACTGTTGATATTTGGCTCTGTTGACTAATGAGTTTGCCGACCACTGCTGTAACCAATTGAGCCACACTGGCTAGGGCATGACGTTCTTTAAACAAAATCTACTTATTTGTCCATATAGTCTATTATTTTCTGACTTCTTAATTGACAATAAAATAAAACCTCAGTGTCACAGATACAAAGGGAAAGAAATTTATTAGCAACTCTTTAAAAAGTTGGATATGTTGAATGATTGCTCAAACAATACAGTTCTCAACTTTTAAAAATATACTTGGGCCCTAGCTGATTTGGTTCAGTGGCTAGAGCCTCAGCCTGTGGACTAAAGGGTCCCGGGTTCAGTTTCAGCCAAGGGCACATGCCCGGGTTGTGGGCTGGATCCCTAGTAGGGGGCATGCAGGAGGCAGCCAATTGATTTTTTATTTTATATATATATATATATGTGTGTGTGTGTATATATATATTTTAATGTATTTGGTAAAAGGCCAAGTAGTGGGTATTAATAGGATAAAAATGAAGGGTTGTTTATTTAACTTTTATTTAACTAACATTTATTGAACAACTAATATCTACTATCCTAGGATACTTTCACATGCATTCGTATTTTACCCGTGCAAATAAAGTAGTTGCTCTTCTCAGGAAATTATAGTTATATGATTTTCCCAATGTGATACAGCTAGTATGTGTAGAATAGAACCAGAATTTCAAACCTAGCACTTGACTCCAAGTCTATTCCTTTCACCCTCTGTACCAAAGCTACTTTTTTTTAATTCTCAAAGGAGCATATTGGAGTGCTTCTGAACTCTATTATAAATTCCCTGATCCTAGTTCCTTGTGGTATTTTGGTGCTGTTAGATTTGTGTAAACATGGCAAGTCTTAAAATTATAGGAATTGATGCTATCGGTAAGACAGTGGAGGGAGTCATTAATTAAAAGAACTATTCTATAGCATCTTTTGGCAGAGGGGGAGATAGGGCTTTCCCATTCTCAATTATTTACTGTTTTGACCTATTGCTATACCTCAAGCACTGCCAGCTTGAGTTTTTGCCTTTCAATCCTTAAAACAAATACCTGCTATATTTTAATTATTGTGTTAGGGTAATGCAGAGCAGTTGTTTTTTCCTCTAGAAAGGTATGTTCTGCCTTCAAAAAGCTTACAGTCAAAATTTGATTTAAAAGGTGCCAAGATTACAGGGAATAGTTGGCTTTTTGACTTCTTTGAGCAAACCTCTTGTTCATTCTACCTTTCCTTATGCTTCAGATTAAGAACATATTTTGAGCTCTTAAGAAAGGGTTTTTTGTTTTGTTTTTTAATATATTTTTATTGGGCCCACAGAGAAAGGGAGAGGGAGAGAGAGAGAGAGAAACATCAATGATGAGAGAGAATCCTTGATTGGCTGCCTCCTACACGCCCCCCGGATCAAGCCCACAGCCTGGGCATGTGCCCTTGACTGGAATCGAATCTGGGACCCCTCAGTCCGCAGGCTGACGCTCCAGCCACTGAGCCAAACCAGCTAGGGCAAGAAAGGGTTTTATAAATTCAAAGTAATATAATAAGTTGCTGTAGACCTTTTATATGTAGAATATCACAGTACTGATCTTGAGTGTGCCTAGTTCCATTGCACCTCTACAAAGTTGTGTGACTCTTGGCATTGAAGGGGAGACTTTTGCTTGTCAGATTGGAAATCTTCAATGTATTAAAGAAGATTTTAGTTTTCTCCAATTTTATCTAATTGTTTTTCTA